AACATATATCCATACAGTTTAGTGCACCAGTTAACGTCCTAGATACGCTCCTGGAAACGTGACGCTAACCTAAATGTGGATCATAGTTCCATCATCACATAAACTTTTGTACTGTATTTATACTTACGCGTATGTGGAATACTATATACCCACATATACATTTTCACTCTTTAAATAACTACTGTAATGTGACACAGGTGACACTTTTATCTCTTGTGCAAAATACATGACGTGCTATATTAAAATTATTCACTTTTACAAGGATTCGAGCAATGGGCAGATGGGGGAGAGGTGAGCCAGCGTGGGGGGAGGTGGAGGTAGTATCGCTTGACAGTTGGCAAAGGCCTGGCAGGTCTAACGCATGTATATTTATCAGTTCTATGACTAAGCTTTTATAAAAAAGCCAGTGAAAATGACCTAAGAATATAATTAACATTCCTGGGATTCTTGTAACATACTGGATTAATTTGAATATGTAAACATGCTATAATTTGCACTAGACAAAACAATTTTAATACCGTAATCAAATTAGTAGCCTACATGTGCACTCCAGCTTTGCACTAAGGTTATTTTATTTCTATTACGTTTCTTTAGTATGGTGTGTGCATGTAAATGGATGAAAAAATAAATGAAGACATCTTATGTAAATTCCACCCAAAAATACAGTTGAAAACTTTTTTTATAAAAATGTACTACAGTACTGTACACTGTATAGTACAAATAATTTTTATCTCTTGAGCAAAAATAAAATATTAATGTTCAAATTATTGGCTGTCTTGCAAGGATTCCAGCAATGCAAATTATAATCCCCTAATCCTTAGTCTGAGAGATTATATGAGATAAAAACTGTAAGCCCAAAAGGCTGGGGGGACTGACGGAGCCAGCCAGTCAGTGAGGGGTTGGGGGGTGGGGTTGATGTGATAAGTTTGAGGCGAAGGTCTCTGTGTGTTTATTTAACAGTCCTACTACGCTTTCTTCATTTTAAAAATGCCAGTGATATGACCTAGGAGAATATAATTAACGCTGGGATTTAGTAAAGAAACTAACCATTTAGATAGTTTATTAGGGATTGACCCAACTGATAATGATGGGTCTTGCTGGGTTATTTGCTTGTGGTCTTGATTACACGCATATGTATATATATATATATATATATATATATATATATATATATATATATATATATATATATATATATATATATATATATATATATATATATATATATATATATATATATATATATATATATATATATATATATATATATATATATTACTGAATGCCTTTTTTATTGAATTAATGTTTATGTGTGCAAAATGATCAAAACAATTCATTAATAATACATAGAATATTAAAACACGAGGAAATGAGACAGCATTGTTTTCGTTGATTAAAAACCAGTGACTGACTGGTTCTACATATAAAACTGAGGAAAATAAGACCTTGGTTGTAGCTGTAGTAAAATTGATATGGTTGTTTTAAGTAATGTTATTTAATGTTAATAAATGGAACAAAAGAAGTAGCTAACGATAATGGTAAAGAAAAAAAGAGAGATCGCGTATGTAAGTGCGCATACGTGAAAACATATCGTCATTACTTTAAAATAAGAATATGAAAGCAACACTTATTTACTGTTCATATATATTTTAATTAATGTTTCTGAATTTGTTTTTATTGAATTAATGTTTGTGTGTGCAAAATGAACAATACAATTTACTAATAATACGTGGAATATTAAAACACACGAGGAGATGAGAAGGCTGCCGGCATTGTTTTTGTTAAAGCTTAGAAAACCAGTGACTGATTGGTTCTACATATAAAACTGAAGAAAATAAGACCCTGATTGTAGCTGTAGTAAAATTAATGTAAAAAAAATTAATATGGTTGTTTGAAGTAATGTTATTTAATGTTAATAAATGGAACAATATAAGTAGCTAACCACAAATGGTAAAAAAAACAAAGTGCGCACATGTGAAAACATATCGTCATTACTCTACATAAGAATATGAAAGCACACTTATTTACTGCTCATATATATTGAAGGGTTAAATGTTGTACTCTGTATAGACAAGCAGAGAGAGAGAGCAGCCGAACTGCCGGATGTAAACAAACCTTAATTTCCTGCGGCTTTGTTGTTGTTGTTTTTTACGGGGATTAGCCCACCTGGGCAGAGGTCACTAACCCACATTGGGGCCTGGGGGCAAAAATTTAATACTCCTGTAATAATAATAATAATTCAGATAAGTAAAAAAAAAAAGCTGCCTATCTTAATTTACTTTAATATCCAGGTTCTAGGCGTAACCAAACAAAAAAAAGTGAAGTAAATCAAAAGGGGATAAAAATATATAAAGTAAACCTTTAAGAATTTAATTAAATTAAATACTGACACAATAAAGAGCCTCGTAGGCTGTCACAACAAATTGATTCACTATCGAAACTTTCAAGACGCAAATGATACTAAAACATCGAAACAGCAAAAGAATAAACATAAAGCATTGGATTACGTTAACACTGCATAAACATATAAAATAACTAACACTGAAATTAACTATGGTGAAACAACACTGAATTACTTAAATGTAACTAAGCAGGCACTGATGGACACATAAGAGACATGAATAGGTACTCACATAGATATACCACATTGGTGGCGACAGGAACAACACAGAAAAAAAATAAAGTCTAAGTAACAGGTGACGGGTGTCACTCAAAAGAACGTGGACTGAATAACAGGAGGACTGGACTGAACTCCGTCTACTGGTGGGTACTATATATAAGGTAGGCTCCCTCCAATAAGACAAGCCTGTGAAATATGGGTCGTTTAACGATGCAGATGGTCGTTAGAGAAACAAAGAATGCTTGTTGCAGTACTAAATGAAGAAATAAGATGGGCTTGAACAAATAATGACAGTTAAAACCTTAACAGCACAGGTAAGGTGACTAGAATATATAATAGTAAATATAACATCATTACAGGAATAATATGGAACAACATGGAAGCATGATATAAAAATATAGAAAATACGACACGGTCAAATAATATATATATATATATATATATATATATATATATATATATATATATATATATATATATATATATATATATATATATATATATATATATATATTTCATTAGCTAATAAGCACTGACTATACTAGCTAGGAGATTCTAACCCACGATCATATAAGTGTGAAATATAACATTGTCTAGACTGCTTTAGTGTCCTGTGGCCCAGAGGTAGCGTTCCTGTCACACTTATAAGATCGTGGGTTCGAATCCTGGCGGGGTATGATTATATATATAAATAATATATA